ACTCACGGAGGCAACAGACGAATGATACATGTTCTACACTAGTTCCTTCGTCATCAGTTCCTTCATCATCAGATTTGCCTCCACCTGACCCTCCAGAAAACCTTGATCTTTCAGTTGCTCTTCGCAAAGGTATACGTACCTGCAAATCCACATATTCTATTGCTAATTTTGTTTCCTACGACCACTTGTCTCCTGCGTCTAGATCTTTGATTGTGTCTCTAGACTCTATTTCTATACCCAAAACGGTGAAGGAGGCTTTGAATCATCTTGGATGGCTGAAGCAATGCTTGAGGAAATACATGCCTTAGAGAAAAACCACACTTGGGATTTAGTGGATTTACCCAGTGGAAAGAAAACAGTGGGATGCAAGTCGGTCTTCACGGTGAAAGTTAATCATGATGGCTCTGTGGCGAGACTTAAGGCTAGACTTGTGGCTAAGGGGTATGCTCAGACTTATGGGGGTGTATTATTCAGACACATTCTCTCCGGTTGCCAAACTTACTTCTGTCCGCTTGTTCATTTCTCTAGCTGCTTCTGAGAATTGGCCTTTGCATCAATTGGATATTAAGAATGCTTTTCTTCATGGTGATCTCCATGAAGAGGTATATATGGAGCAACCACCTGATTTTGTTTCTCAGGGGGAGTATGGCAAGGGCTGTCATTTGAAGAAATCCTTATATGGCTTGAAGCAGAGTCCCCGGGCTTGGTTTGGTAACTTTAGTGAAGCGGTTCAAGAATTTGGGCTGAAAAAGAGCAAATGTGATCATTCTGTCTTCTACAAGCAATCAACAACTGGATCTATTCTCCTTGTTGTATATGTGGATGACATTGTTATAACAGGGAGTGATTATGCAGGAATCTCTTCTCTCAAGTCTTTCTTGCATACTAAGTTTCATACAAAAGACTTGGGACAACTGAAATACTTCTTACAACAACAACAACGACCCAGTATAGTCCCACAAGTGGGGTCTGGGGAGGGTAGTGTGTACGCAGACCTTACCTCTGCCCCGAAGGGTAGAGAGGATGTTTCCGATAGACCCTCGGCTCAAGAAGATGAAGAGATCAAAAGAGAAAATATATCAGTACCATCAATAAAAATTAAGAGGGAAATAATAAAGAAGGGAATTTTTCTATCTCAGAGAAAGTATATTCTTGACTTACTAGCAGAAACTGGTAAGCTTGCTGCCAAGCCTTGCAATACTCCAATGGTTCCTAATTTGCATCTTATGAAAGATGATGGCGATCCATTTAATGATCCAGATAGATACAGGAGGTTAGTTGGGAGATTAAACTATCTCACTGTGATACGTCCAGATATTGCTTTTGTAGTGAGCATGGTTAGCCAGTTCATGTCCGCGCCCATAGTTAAACATTGGGAGGCTTTGGAGCAGATCCTATGCTACTTAAAAGGAGCTCCTGGACTTGGCATATTATACAGCAATCACGGTCATTCCCGCATTGATTGTTTGCAGATGCAGATTGGGTTGGATCCAAGATTGATAGAAGATCTACTACTGGTTACTGTGTATTTGTTGGTGGAAACTTGGTATAATGGAGAAGTAAGAAACAAAATGTTGTATCTAGGTCCAGTGCAGAATCCGAGTATAGAGCTATGGCACAATCAACATGTGAGATAATGTGGATACATCACCTTTTAACTGAAATTGGGTTAAAGCATCCTACTCCATCAAAACTCTGGTGTGATAATCAAGCTGCACTCCATATTGCCTCAAATCCAGTGTATCATGAAAGAACCAAACATATTGAAGTTGACTGTCATTTTATTCATGAGAAGATTCAGGAGAACTTGATTTCCACCGGCTACGTGAAGACAGGAGAGCAGCTAGCTGATTTGTTCACTAACGCGTTGAATGACACTCGAGTTGATTACCTTTGTAACAAGCTGGGCATGATCAATATATATGCTCCAGCTTGAGGGGGAGTGTTACAGAATGAACCTAGACACTTTACACAATAAACATAGACGGTTTCTTAGTAGTGTACATAATCCGTATATAGATAGTAGATTTGTAGGAATCTCTTTTATTTCTTTCCTTAGTTAGCACCTGATGTATATGTATATATATGTATCACTACATGGAATAATATACCATTTTGATTCTTCCATACCTTGTTAATTACAGAATTGATTCCGCCCCTGACTGCAGGCATCGTCAAGAGGATGGATAAAGGTGCTCAAATTGAGAAAAAAGGTGCCTGAGCTATTCACATTGAGGACATCCCTGAGGCCTATGCTTTTGAGTTACTTCTAGCTTGATCCCTATAGCATTGTCAGAGGCGGATCCAGGATTTCTATCAAATGGGTTCAGTTTTTAAGATTTTTAGCATTAAATTTATTGTGCTCTTAAAATTATGAGTTCCGATCTAATATTTGTTAAGATTTACTAGGTTTTTACATATAGGTTCATACTCCATGTCGAAAGTTAATGGGTTCAGTTGAACCCGTAGCCGAAATTCTACTGACCTGACTTTGTTTCAATTGCATATGAACTTGGATCCAAAGCAGATCTTTTTTATGTTTTTGTTAGGCTATCAATATTTCATTAGTGTAAAGCATGAACTGAGACAATTATGAATTCTAACATGCTGTATAGTTAAGTTGCATTTTTCCAGTTTACACCATAAAGCCAAAGGAGAAAGACATTTGCTTTTTTTTGTATGTGTTTTTTCTACTTCTGCCCTCAAAACATCTCGGAATACCTTTTCCATATAACCCACCAAATACAAGCTGGAATGGTGTGGATTTTCTTCTAATCCTGCCAATTCTCTCACTGTCCAGCAAATCCACGACTTCATATCAATGGGTGAGACTGGCTGGTAATATTCTGGTGCTTCGCAAAGTTCCTATGGCGGAGCAAAAGGTGTCAGTGACACCCCTTCACGGGTCTGTACCGTGGCAGGGTACTATTCTACCACTAGACCACTGGTGCTTTGTTGCTTGAGACTCTCACTATATTTTTAACATGTAATAGGAAACAGCCTTAAGTGTTTACAATGTGGAAATAAAATCTTTCATGGATTCGACGTTGATATCTTGAATCTTTGAAATAAAATTACTAGTGCTGAAATTACATAAAAAGTAGTAGTACCACGTTTCACAAATTTTTGTAGTTATTAAGTATTCAAAATGTTTGAAGTTTGCCATTAGCACTTTTTAAGTGAACTCTAAATAGTACTGGTGGGGGTCGTTTGGTATGAGTTATAAGAAGGTATAAGGGTGGTATAAAAATTTAATACCACCTTAATACTCTGTTTGGTTAGCAAACCAGGTATAAGTTATCCCGGTGTTAATTTTAACACTGGGATAACTTATACCTTATAGAAGGTGGGGTAACTAACACCGGTATAACTTATACCTTCTTCTTAGAAATTATGCAATTGTCATTCTTAATACAACATACCAAACAATGAATAAACAACAATCCCAGCATAACTAATCCCAATATAACTTATACCGGTATAAATCATATTCCAACCAAACTACCCCGTGAAGTACAACTTTAACACATGAACATTGAGGGGGACACCTTCAACAAGGAGCATGTAAAACCATTTCGAAAAAAATAATTACTGCATAAATAGCTTTTCAAATAAATAGTACTATTTTTTATATACACTATATATTAGACCACTACAGCTTCAAATTAATGCAGAATAAAAATCAATGTAAGACATAACTAAAAGTTACTGTAGAAGAGTATTGTATGCTCCATCCGGTCCACTTCAATTAATTTTTTGGCATTTTTTTCGTAGTCTACAATATTTGGATTTTTAAGATATCAAGAAGGAATTAACTTCATTGTTAATTGATTTAATTTATTTTTTCAATGAATAAATTAAGGTTAATATGATCAAATTTATTGTTAATTAATGCTAATAAGTGAACTCCTTAATCGTGTGAAAAGAGCTAAAAAATCAATTAAAGTAGACCGAAGGGAGTGCAATTTTTCTTTTTCGTTTTCATCCAATGTTAGACATTCTCATTGCATCCCAAATAATCCAAGTGCTCCTATTCAGAGTTTAATTTCAGAACTGAAACCGAGTCTTTTGATTAAGAATAGGGTGATCAAAGAATAAAGTGATTCAACTAGTATTTTAAAAGTTTTTTCGGGACTCTTCTCGCGACTTTCTGGGCAGGACACTATCAAACTGCATTGAGGTTCATGTGAGAGATTTAGTTATATAAGGCTTACGTTCCCAAGCGCCGACTATGCATCATAAACACACGATGCTCAATATTCGGGGCTCGCCTAACATTTCCCATGTAGATCATGTATCGAATTCAGTGCTCGCCTAACAATTCCTAAATATATCATGTATCAATTTCACTAATTAGCATTGTCGACTCTCAAAATTCTTTAACAAATGAATAGTTATAGTTTTATTCATCTATAAGATTTTGATGATTGTGAATAACTCAAACAACAACCAAAATATTACTTATTTACTAACTGAGGTGAGGGCGAATATGATTTGAATGTTTATTCTGAAAATAGATAGCCAAAATTTATATATTTACTTGCTAGATCTTCATGTCTTAGTTCTATATCTCTCAAAATTATCATACTTTTATTATTTTGCTATTTAAAAGTAATTTTTTATTTATTCATGAAGGAGTAATACTTTAAATTTCAGTTGGATAAATTTATTAATTATTTTTTTTAGGAAAGTAAAAAGCATAGTTTGATGGAGTAATGTCTTTTAAGAAATTATAATTTTTAATTATTTGAGAGTTAAAGACGTTATAGTTGATTTATATTTCATAATAATGTTAATACTATTGTATTGTTAATACTTATCAAAATATGTTAGATGTTTTATTTTCATTAATTCTTTTAATGTATTTATTTGTGTTATTAAATTATTAATTTATGAATTAAAAAATTTAAAATTTGTTCGCCCCCGCCATTTAAAATATTGAAGCACCCGTCTACGTGGCCAAATGACGTACCCACATTCCAGAGAAATCCAAACTGTGCTGTTTTTAACTGTAAGCCTGAGTTGCAACAGTGCAGAGGTTGGAGGGAGCGGGAAAAATGGCGATTTCCATTATCAGGCCTTCTGTCTCTCGTCCTCAACACTTTCTCTATTCAACTAATAATTCCCAAAATTTCAGCTCAATTTCCCTCAGAAAGAAGCAGAGCTTTCTTCGTTGTGCTTCATCTGATTCTGCTCCCACTCGGTAAAGCGCATTACTGTTCTGTTTCACTTTTATTAATCACTAATAATACTCCCTCTGTCACATTTTATGCGGCATGTTTTTCTTTTTCTTTCAATATGTAGAAGCAATTTCATTTAAACTTTCAATTTCACCTTTAATGAGAGATTTATAGCCACACAAAGGTGCATGACGTATTTTACCACTATTTCAAAATCAAAATTATTCATTTGTTTCTTAAGTTTCGTGTCAAATAGGTTCACATAAATTGAAACAAAGAGACTAATTGTTTATTTGAGTGATGAATGCAGTTTTTGGTAGCTGATGCAGGAACACTAATGACCTAACTTATGCCAGTTGAAAATTATTAGAAATATTTGCCAGTTCAAAAAATTAGTGATTGTAATGATACTTATATCCAGAGGCAAATTCATGATTCAAATTTTTGTGGGTAATGTTTATGTTCTCGCTACTAAATTCATTGCGCTTTTGCAATTATTAAATAGTATTCGTGGAAATTTTAGTGATTTATATCTTTATTTTATGCTACGTGTAAAAAAATAATGTATTCAGTTGAATCCTTAGAACTACATTGCATCCGCCTATGCTTGCACCCACTTACTTCTTCTTTTTTCCTAATGGAAAAGGTATGTATTTCGTGCCTTAGTGGCAGAGCCACATTGAACCAAGGGGTGTCAAGCTGACACCCCTTCGCCGGAAAATTACACTATATTGCTAGATAATTTCTTTATATTTTATGTATATTTACTGTACGTTGACTCCCCTTGACTTTTCGATGTATCTTATTATTTATATTTTGACACCCTTTGATGAAAATTCTGGCTCCGCCACTGTCGTGCCTACTTAATATTTCGTCTCTATTTATTTGCAGGAAGGAGGTGTCTTTATGTGTTGGAACTTACCAAATTCCACATCCCAACAAGGCAAGTAGTTATGCAAATTCGTATCTCGGAAGGGCTCTTTTAGTTCTGTCATTTTCTTTCCTTGAAGACATGAGTAATATAATTGTGTTGACTCTGCATCCAGAAGAGGGTCCAGAATTTAAATTTGATCGTGTCCAACCTTTAAGTTTTACTATTTAATAAGTTAAACTTCTGAAAATTACGGGTTTAGAGTTTAATATTTGTTGAAATTTTACTGATTTTTCACATATTTATGATCCATATTGAAATTACTTAGTTTAGTTGAATCCAGTAAGTAAGGTTGCATCCACCACTGTCTGCATCACTATTGGTTGTGCTATATGTTTATGTTTTGAAGGTTGAGAAAGGTGGAGAAGACGCATTCTTTGTTAGCAGTGATAATGGGGGAGTGATTGCTGTTGCTGATGGTGTTTCTGGGTGAGATGTTTTGTTATGTTTTCTTTTGAAAATGGTCTTTCTCAGTTCGTAAAAGCATAACCATCTTTTTGGATGATAACTAATAACTATTACTATTAGAAAAGTCAAGCAGTTCTCTCTTCGACGTAATTATAGAAAAATATGTAGAATTTTAAGGAATGATTGCCGGTATTATAAAAAAAAGATGTGTTTGGACTCTGACATTCTGAACCAGTCTTTCTGTTGGGAAAAAATATGAATTTTGTAGACATGCTAATCCAGCCTTCTATCCCACTAAAACAGTTGGATTTGAGGCTGTTGCATGTATTGCTCTGGTATTCTCAACTTCTTTCTACTTGTGGTTTGGAGGTTTACAACTCACCGAACTCCCATTTGGAGATGTCTATAACCACATGCTTGCTCCATATTTATCAATATCAGAGTACAAGTTGCAACTTACTTGCCAAGTGGAAACTCTCATCTTAAGCAGGGGCAAGAAAATTAACATGGTATTTAGTGTCCGTTAACAATCAAACTATATCAATCAACTGTGCCTCAATCTTGAACTAATTAGAAAACAAGCTTATATATACTTTAAGGCAGAATGCAGGACCTCTTTCGAGTTATTTTTCTTTTGTTCTTTCTTTACATTCTGGAGGGGTTGACAGGGAAAGGAATAAAGTGGAAATTTCTATACTAAGATCTCAATCACATTAATAAAAATTATCTCTAGGCTCTCTGCAAGTTTTAAGCTAATACGTATCTTTTTGGAAAGTTACTATGAAAGAGCTCGGTTCGCAAGCTCTCCCTTTCGAGCATATTCCACTGCTTTGTGATACCACACTTTCTTTTTCTTTCCCCTGCTAAGGGAGGGGTTGGGAAGCAGGTTGTACTCATAGGATCATCTTATAGACACATTGGCTAAACCACTTAATTTATCTTAACTAGTTTCTCCATATGTCCGCATTGTGCCCTTTCTTCGTTCACAGATACCCGAAATCTTATCTTGCTCTCATTTCCTCCATATTGATCAGAATAAGAAACAATTCACATTTAGGTGTTAAGAAAGGGGAATTTCTTTTCTCAAACTTTACAGAAACACGGATTGGTGTGAACCAAGTTCTAAAATGTTTTGTTTCTTCTATGAAAAACGGCATGAACAAGCGCAACACGATTGCAAATTCTGAGTGGTATATCAGTGGAGGTTGAAATTTCATCCCGCACTTTTTAGAATTACAAACATATAAAAAACTTGTGCATACATGGAGTTCTACAGAAAGGGTTATGGGATGAAATGATATTACCAAACTCTCAGGCTAACCTTGTCAGCTAATGAGGCATTATTATGTTACCGACTGTTATGTAACTTACGCTCGGCAATCAACAAACTTAATTCCTCATATCACTTAATGCAGAACTTAAATTGCTATAAGTATCCATTGGCATTATCTCCACCTGACAATATTTTGATATGGCTCGGAGTTGCGTAAATATCTGACTTGTGTCTTCTTCATTAAATGTTCTTGACAGTTGGGCTGAAAAGAATGTGGATCCTGCATTGTTCTCCAGGGAATTGATGGCTAATGTTTCTTCTTTGGTGGGGAATGAGGAGGAGGTACCAATGTTGTAGAGACAAACCATCCTAATTTTAAGTTAGTTTCATCGTTGAGTCATATTAGTTTCATCATTGAGTCATATTAACCGATAATGACCTGTGTTTCCTTTCAAGAAATTTACCTAGCGTTAGTTACTTAATATGGCAGGTCAAGTATGATCCGCTGATTCTCATAAAGGGAGCACATGCTGCTACATCATCTATTGGTTCAGCTACAGCGTAGGTCCTTTACCTTCAGCGCCAATGTTCTTAATCATTGATAGTCATCCAGATTGAGGGACTTAGTTATCATCATTGACTGTCGCTTTATATCTGGCACATAGAATTGTTGCTATGTTCGAGAATGGGATTCTGAAGATAGCCAGTGTTGGAGATTGTGGACTACGGATTGTTCGTAAAGGTACAAGCTCATATTTTATTTTTGTGCCTTTCTTTCTAAATTTTCAAATGCATGTGATGTCATTATTACCTATCCGATGCAGGTCAGATGATTTTCTCTACTTTCCCACAAGAACATTATTTTGACTGCCCATACCAGTTGAGCTCAGAGGCTGTTACTCAAACTTACCTTGATGCCATAGTATGGAAAATTATATATGGTGAATCATATTACACTTCAATATCTTTCTAGGTTTCTTCTGCTACACCATAGAAATTTCGTGATGTTATATTTGACACTTAGAGTAAGCTTGCTCTCTGTTCCGTCTCTCTGTGTATGTTTTTTTATAGGTTAGCAGTGTGGATTTGAAAGAGGGAGACACAATTATAATGGGCTCAGATGGCCTCTTTGATAATGTTTTCGATCAGGAGATCGTTTCAGTTATGACCACACATGATGATGTCTCTAATGCTGGTACTTGTTTTCTGCTTTATCTAAATTCTGCTTAGAACCGGTGACCTCATTTCTGTGGTATTCTTAGTGGTTTGGTATCAATGTTAGCAAAGGCATTGGCTGAATTGGCGAAGAACCATTCTGTGGATATCAAATTTGACTCCCCCTATTCACTCGAGGCTAGAGCAAGGGTAAAATTTTCAATCTGATTCGGGATATAGATTGTCTTCGAAAGCAATGTCTTTCACGGATCAAGATGATATTTATTTATTTAGCTATTTATTACGTCACTTTGACTAGCAGGGATTTGATGTTCCTTGGTGGAAGAAAGTGTTTGGAATGAAGTTAACAGGCATGATTAGAAGGAATCTCTTTCGAGCCTTTTATTTCTGTTATTTTCATGATGACATGCTTGACAAGATCTTTTCCTTTAACCTTGAACAGGAGGAAAGCTCGATGATATTACCGTCATTGTTGGAAAGGTGAAAAGCTCGTGAGCAAGCTGGCCTAGACATCACCGATATTCATTTATTTATTTTTAAAAAAAGAGAAGCTCGTGGACAAGTCATATCTCTGGTGCTATTGGGGCAATTGGATGGTGTTCTGGAGTACGAGCCAAAAGATGAGGTAAGAAGAGAACAGCTTCAAACAACTCTCAGCGATTGTTTCTGTATTGTGTTATTTCAAGTTGTCTGTCGTAAGACAATATGTTGGCACTAAAAATCTGTATAACATTTGAGACGACTTAAAATTCTTCATTGTTCAAATGTACAACCATGAAAAGCTTGCTAACTTGTTTAACACCTACAATCTCCATTGAAATGTCATTTAATCATCATATGGATACAACAACTTCTGTTTCCTAGACAGAGTTTAGTATTTTCTTATGTTTTTTATTTTCTGTAATATATAGGCATAACTTGATTACTTTTCCATCACATAATGACCTTGAATGGTAGCCTTGGCGTAACTAGTAAAGCTGTTGCCATATATGTCACGATCCAAAATCCACCGAGGGTCGTGGTGGCGCCGGACACCGCTGTCAGGCAAGCCAACCAAAATACTTAATTAACTTCCAATTTTTGTATTGTCTAAAATCATTTTTCTTTATACATTAAATAATGAATAATAAAATTTACAGAAATAACCACGAAGTCTTTAACAAAACATAACATTTAATAATCCAAAAATCCTCCCAGAACCCGGTGTCACGAGTGCATGAGCAATTTCTAAGAAATAATGTAATACAACAATCGTTCGGAATACAATATTGGACAGAAATAAATACAGAAAACTGAAAGAGACTTTGCTGGTTGCGGATCGCCTCGAGAAGTGCAGCTCACCTAAGTCTCCGTGTCATCCGTACTGCTACGCCCAGTAGGCCACTAGAGATGCATATGCTTGTGCAACAAAAATGCACAGAAGTGTAGTATGAGTACGAAAACAACGTGTACTCAATGAGTATCCCGTCTAATCTCGAAGAAGTAGAGACGAGATGGTCGACTTCGACACTTACTAGTGGTCCAATAATGATATATCAATAATATGTTAAATCGCGGATTTTTATAAACATGATATAATTCGATAGGTTGAAGCAAATGAACAATTTTTCCTTTATAGGAAATTTCCAAATTCCTTTTTATCATTTATCCAATTATTCTCAAGCCGGAAAGAGGCTATAACAACTTTAATAAGTTTCAAGGCAAGCAATACAAGCATGCGCAAATCATGCCGAGGCGTACGGCCCGCTCCAACAGAAAATAAACTGTGCACTGCCGAGGGTCGAACGGCGCGAACCATAGATACATCTATTACCTCGCTCGCGAACTATCCATGCGACGCGGTCAACATAAATTAAACAATCACCCTGCTCGCGAATCATGCATGCGACACAGGTACACTAGAAATACATGCTCAGATAGCAAATTAAGAATTTATCAGGGAATATTTATTCAAATAAAAGCCACTTTCTATTTTAACAATTTAAGAAAAGAAGTTTAATCTTTTTAGAACTTTATTTATTAATTCGATGAGGTTTAAGCAATTTGAGCTGTCAATAGGTTTACAATTAATCCAAGTATAGCATGCTTTTGGGTCCTATACTACCCGGACAGTAGCATAATAGTAGCTACGCACAGACTCTCATCACCTCGTGCGTACGTAGACCCCACAAATAGGAGCACATAACCAATTAATTCACCTATGGGGACAATTCCCTCTTACAAGGTTAGAAAGGAGATTCACCTCGCTCCGAAGATCTATAACCGGCATTCCACGCTCCTCCGAAGACTTAAATCGACACACAACGCTCCAAAACTAGTCAATGATTATACAAATCCATTAATATATGCTTAATTACTCATTACAATCCAATTTATAGCAATTCCCAACCCCGATCGAAAAGTTGACGAAAATGCCCTCGGGCCCACGTGCCCGGAATCCGAAATTTTTCGAAGATAAAGTTTACCCATAGCCTCACGAACTCAAATATATGATTTTCTCTAAATTCCATACCCAAAATTATGGTCAAAATCCAAGAATACTAGTTTTATAGGTTTTCCCTCAAACCTCAAGTTTTCTACAATTTTCCAAGTCTAAATCCATATATATATACCTTGTATATACTCAAAACTAGTATAAATCACTTACCTCATGCTTGGTGATGAAAATGACACTCCAAAGTTGCTCCAGAATCGGCTCCCATGGAAGAAATGAAGTGAAAATGAGCCAAACTTCGATTTTTAAAGAAACCTCTCTGCCTCCAGCAGTTTCCGCATCTGCGGAAATTTGACCGCATCTGCGGAAAATTTCCGCATCTGCGGTTATGACAGCAACCAGCACTTTTCTCGACACGAAAATGAGCATAACTCCCTCATACGATGTCCAAATTCGACGATTCTTTTTGCTATGGCTCCGAAATTACGATACGGATCTAATGGCTCAATAAAAACTTAATTTGGAGCTCATTTGCTTAATATGGCACCCCTTTATGTCCAAAGAAACGACGTTGAAACATCAAATAAGAGCGCGATACAACCCGAAACACCCCCGAGGCCCCCGGGACCCCGACCAATCACACCAACTAGTCCCAAAACACATTACGGACTTGCTTGAGGCCTCAAATCACATCAAACAACGCTAAAATCATGAATCAACCCCCAATCCAAGCTTTATGAACTTTAGAACTTCCAACTTCTACTTTCGATGCTTAAACCTATCAAATCACGTCCGATTGACCTCAAATTTTGCACACAAGTCATATTCGACATTACGGACCTACTCCAACTTTTGGAATCGGATTCTGACCCCGATATCAAAAAGTCCACTTCCGGTCAAACTTTTCAAAAACCTTCAAATTTCTATCTTTAGCCAAATGTTTCCAAAATGACCTACGGACCTCCGAATTCACTCCAGAATCATCATACGGAGCTGCTCCAAGACTCGGAATCTCAAACGGACATCGATATCACTGAAATGCACTTCAACCCAAACTTATGAAATTTCTTTCAAAATGCTACTTTCCACAATAGGCGCCAAAACGCTCTCGGGTCATCCAAAACCCGATATGGGCATACGCCCAAGTCCGAAATCATCATACGAACCTGCTGGAACTTTCAGATCCCGATTCTGAGGTCGTTTACTCAAAATTCCAATCCTAGTTAATTCTTTCAACTTTAAGCTTCCGAAATGAGAATTCTCTTCCAAATCAACTCTGAACTTCCCGAAACTTAATTCCGACCACGCGTACAAGTCATAATACCTGAAATGAAGTTGTTCATGGCCTCAGACTGCTGAACAATGCGCTAGAGCTTAAAACGACCGGTCGGGTCGTTACAATATAACCAGGTAGTCACGGGACAGCCTCTTGCAAAAATGCAAGGTAAGGCTGCATACAATAGACCCTTGTAGTCCGGCCCTTCCCCGGACCCAGCGCATAGCGGGAGCTTAGTGCACCGGGCTGCCCTTTGCCATCACATAATGACCTTGGTGCAGTAAACAAAAGTAGGATGGAAAACCATGAAATTAACCCGCGTAAATTGGTGAATAGCTTTTATTTTTCACAAGAACATCAGCCTTTTTTCCTGCTATTTCAAGAACTTGGAAATTCAAGAACCTGCTATTTCACTCTCATAATCACTCAAGGATGGGAAGAAATTAGCTGGACTTGGATAATTTTCTACTGTTTCTGCTTTGAAAGTACTTTTCTCCAAAGATTGCTACTTATCTTTTAATATAATGCTTTAATAGTTGTGAATCTGCATGAGATACAAAGTGCAGGTGAAATGAGAAAAACATACTCTTAATTTAACAATTGTTGGTATATATCTTCCATTTTTACATCCGCGTGAGACATATATTGGATGCAGCAGGAAAAAAAATTGGTTTTAGCCCTGTTAGTTTTGCTTAACCATTAGATGTGTCACTAACACAAGGATGATGATATTGTTTAGACTTTTTGGCCACCTCTTTCAGACTATCAATGGCATACAAAGGATCTTATTTAAGCAGAGTCAGTCTATTATCACAACTCAACTTGTATGTGGGTTTGTGTCTGGGCATGGAGCTTTAGAGGTCTAAAAGCTTTACTTTTCATCCCAAATTTCGCCTTATTTTCAAGAGGTGTCGGTCTATTATACATGCATATTGAAGGTTTTCAATGAAGGGAATGACACTTCTTGTAAAAGGGTGTCTCTATCACTGTCACGGTCCTCCTCACATGGACTAGTTTAATCATTGGTACGGGTTTCACTGGATATTTAAAAACCGACAAAATCGACCGAACCGTAGCGTTTCGAACCCATTTTTAGGTTTCTTTTAGTACCTATTTTTAGGTTTCTTTCAGTAAAATCATAGGTTTTTATATAAATCTATAACCATACCGATAATTAGGGTAGGTTTTTTATTTTATGAAAATAAATCGAAAAAATACCGAACCAATGATAGTGCATTTGAATCAAGTTCTGTAAAGTGCAGTGGCGGATCCACGTTAGACTGATTGACATTCCTTCATTGGAAAATTACTGTGTAGCTAGAATAAAATTTTATTTTTATGTGTATTACCTATATCTATACTACTTTAAAAGTAGGAAGTCCTAAATTTAAAAGTTGAAAGACCAAATTACCCTTTTAATAATATATATTTATATTTATTATTAGTAATAATAATTAAACAAAAATGAAAATTATTTTGTATTGTACCTTTTCTAAATAGGTGTTCAAAATGACACAAACCATAGCGGAAATGACGTAAATAGCGGATATGTTATTTGTGTCTCTATTCGATTGTGGAAGAGTTGATTAATTACACTTTCATAGATGATTTCTTTAGGACAAAAATCTACGTGCGGTGAAAAAATATATTTTACCGAAAATTTTCTAAATGACAAAGTGAAATGTGTACAATTTTGATACCAATTATAATGTTAGAAAATTATATTGGTGATGTACGTGAGAATCCATGTCTTGGCGTCCTTCTGGAAAGGCTTCTTCAGAAATCAATTTATCTCCGCCATGCTAGGAAACCCATTGTTGACTCTGGTTCATGGCCTGCAATCAAACTAACAACAAAATTTTCTCTATCCATTCTTTAATTTCCTATTCTGTACAATTTTTGTCTAAATTCAATTTCTATGTGTTCAAATAAATATTAATTATGTGATGATCTCATGATATATTATTGTGTTTTACATTAGTGTTTTGGTTAGGGTAACATATATTTAAGGTTATAGTTGTTTTCCTTTGGAGAAATTCAAAATAGTTGGCATATATACATATATGTTATACGCATAAAATCATGTGGATT